TGTCAGAGCCTTCCCCAGACCCCAGGACTGGCCCAGGTTCCTCCCCAACCTCCTCACTGTCTACCACCAGCTCTGCTGACTGCTGCAGGGCCCCAGCCAGAAACCCTCTCCCCCTCCTCTGTTTCTTCCTTCCATTCCCAGATGTGGAATGGATTTTTTCTTCTGTTCAATTCCACCGTCATCAACCTATTGCTCAATTGGGGTTGAGAGCTCTCCAGAAATACCTGCAGTGCCTCCCGGCTGTGTTATTTCCAATTTTGATACGGGGCTGGGAATAGAAGGTGGCCAGACTGGGCTGAGGCTCTCGACTGGAAGTGCTATTCAACTATTTTCTTTCTCTTTCTCCTTCCCTTTTTCTCTTTTTCCTTCCTTCCTTCCTCTCTCCCTTCCTTTCCCTTCACCTCCCTCTGTTTCTTCTTCTTTCCTTCTTTCCTCTCTCCCTTTCCCTTGATCTCACTCTTTTTCTTCTTCTTTCCTTCCTTCCTCTTTCCCTTCCTTTCCCTTCACCTCCCTCTGTTTCTTCTTCTTTCCTTCTTTCCTCTCTCCCTTCCTTTCCCTTGACCTCCCTCTGTTACTTCTTCTTTCCTTCCTTCCTCTTTCCCTTCCTTTCCCTTGACCTCCCTCTGTTTCTTTTCTTTCCTTCCTTCCTCTCTCCCTTCCTTTCTTTTGACGTTCCTCTATTTCTACTTCCTCCCTGCCTCCTATCCATCCCTTGCTCTTTTTTATTCCTTCCTCCCTTTCTTTCTCCCCACTCCCTCCTACACTTACCTCCACCTTTCTACTTTTCCTTCCTTCCTTCCTCCCTTCCTTCCTTCCTTCCTTCCTTCCTCCCTTCCTTCCTTTTTTCTTTTTTTCTCCATCTTCCTCCCTTCCCTCCCTTCCTTCTTCCTTCCTTCCACTCAGTTTGTGCAAGTAAGCAAAAGAGTGCGCACTTACCTGTAGCTTTCCCCAAACTGAATGTCTGCCAGCCTCCCTCTTCCTCAAATGCTGGGGACGTCAGGAACCCTCTTATTTATATACCTGCACTGGGGGGTGGGGTGGGGGGGGGAATTTGCTGTCCTCAAATATTAGTAAAAATTTTCCCTGTCCTGATTGCATCATGGGAAAACAAACAAACAAAAAAGATTCAGTGCACAACTGAACCTCTGTTCAAGGGCAAAGACAAATGTTGACACGTCCCCTTTACCTGAAGTGTTGGGGTTATTTTTTTGCAAAAAGAACATTTCTCTGTTTGTTTTTTTTTTTGGAAACGAAACAATTTCCTCATCTCTTTTGAAACACGGCCTAAACCAAGCAGGGGAAAAGAAAAACCACACCTAGGTCTCAGAAGGACCAGGGGAGACAGGAGAGCAGTCTTCCAATATTTGAGGAGGGGCTGCCCCAGAGAGGAGGAAGGAGTCAAGCTATTTTCCAAGGCCCCTGTAGGCCAGACAAGGAATAATGGATGGAAACTGAACAAGAAGAGATTCAACCTGGAAATAAGGAGAAACTTTCTGACAGTGAGAAGATTCAACCAACGGTGTGCTGTCCCAGCCAATCTATGGGATTGGATAGTTACTTAGGAATTATGAGCTGTCCCCTTAAGGGAATGCATCATGGTAAATGTAGTTAAAGGTACCCTGGGAAATGTAGTTCATGTCACGTGGCCACATCGGTAATCCCGATTGGTCACTAATTTAACCCTCCATGGGTTGGGGGAGTTTTCCTCACTTCTGCCTGAACTCCCTAACTCATGGCAGCTGCTTTCTATCGCTACAAGGTGGGTTAGGAGATAACCATCTTTTACCATGAGCAAGAACTTCATCACAAATGTGAGTTATGAGGATACCTGATGAACCAATCAATGTACTTTGTTATGGACGTCTCATTGAGTTTATCTATCTGCATCTGCTCAGCTTAAAAATCCACTACTGTGCAGAATACAGAAAAAAATGGAACGGGCTTGTCCTCGGAAGTTGTGGGAGTGCCATCACTTGTGACCTTCAAGAAGAGGTTGGACTGCCATTTGTCAGAAATGGTGTAGGGTCTCCCGCTTGGGTGGAGGGGGGGTTGTACTAGATGACCTATAAGGTCCCTTCCAATTCTGATTATCTGTTATCTGTTAAATAGGAAAGATGTAGACAGAGACAAAGACCCAAGGGAGGAGTTTAGGAGGCAAGTCAAAAAAATGAATAAGAATGGAAGTACTAAAGCGATCAAGAGATGATGTTTAGAAAGGGAATGATGTTAAATATAAGATCGGCTGTATGGTAGACAGGGCGGTGATCGTGGTGACGGGGTATGGACGAGTGAACCCAAATGAATCTGAGACTTTGGTCCTCCTCAAAGACCTGTTTTTTTGGGTACACCATTTAAGTTCATTTCTATGAACTTAAAACCAGCTCTACTTGTTTCCCACGGTTTCAGTATAATAAAATGTTAGACATCCCTCCTCCCATTAGTGTCACAGTCACATTGTCCTATTAAGTGTCCTTGCATCTCCTTGGGAACTAGATCCAGTCTCTGGTAACCCCTTGTTGGGATGACTGTCAAGCTTCCAATTTATATGCTCACAGCAAGCAGAACTCTGAGGCAAGCAAGTTCCTCAAAGAACAAGTTTATCGGAGATATCATATTGGCACAGGCTGATAAAAACCGACTCTAAAGGTTCCTGTTAGGAATGTGAGTCACCTAACAGCTATTTGGGATGGAAATATATAAACCAGGATAGACATTTTAATACTGTCTCTTTAAGAGCATGCTAAAAACTGCAATCGGGTGTGGTTAGTCAAATGGCCATAAGATGGATCCAAAAACCTGGGTTGTTTAGTCTGAGTCTCAGAAGAGAGTGTGAGTGTATCTCTGTTTCCTTCTGTTGGAAAGTATTGCCGTTCCTCCATTTCTTCTAATTGACTGATATTTCTGGATTTAATATAAGTCTAATACTGAACTGTTTTTGACACTGGACTTTGATATTTGGGTTATCCCTGGATTCAAAACTGACTGATTTACTTGTGAATGACTTTGGATTGCTTATTTTGGACTTTGCTTAACGTTTCTAGAAGTAAAAACCTACATTTACTGTACTGTATATCTGTGTGCTCTGTGTGTATTATTCCAACACTACTCTCTATATGTCTCCCTATATGCGCTCATTCTCCTAACGGGGAATTACCTCAACAGTTCCCATGGTTTTCACCCAATTAAAAGCAAAAGTTTTCTCCCCTTTCCAAACACGGTCCAATCAAGGTGCTGCTTGGTTGCTTGGAAACGTCTCTCCTCCTCTCTCTAGCCACCTGTGGGACTGTCCTTGGTTCTCAGGGGAAACTATTTTGTTTTGGCTACAAAGCCCCAACTATCTCTCTTCCCCTCTCCCTATCCCTCAGTACCGTTGTGGCAACACTGAAGCCTCCAAGATGCCCTCAGTCAGGCCAGCTTCAGAGTTGACGATGACCTTGGTTCTCACGAGATAGCAGTCTGTTTTGACTAGGCTACATTCCATTGCTCTCTCCCCCACTCCCCAAACTGCGTGGTGCTTGGGAAACAGAAAAAGGCTGCGGCAGGCTTGATCCATTTTAAAGTTGACGCCTGGTTTTACTTGACCAGAATTGTATTCGGTCAAACCCAACTTCTGTGGGATGCTATCCCCTTGGGTGGAGCTCTTGTATATTGTGCCGAAGATTCATTTACAAAAGTTGTGAGGCACTTACAGGAGTATGATGGTGAGGGTCTGGCTCAAGCAAGGGTTTGACCCAACCCCAAACTTCCTTTATTACCTCTGCTGAAACAGGCGGAGTCCAAGGCAGCACCCTCCAGACAAATGGTGTTGGTGCTGACTGGGTGAGATTGCCCAGACCAGATCTACTGTGTTTCTCTGAAAATAAAATCGGGTCTTATGGATTTTTGCTCCAAAAGACACATTAGGGCTTATTTTCTGGCTAGGTCTTCTTTTGGGGAAAATACGATACCAAATGCATGTGTCTAGCTGACCATCTTTACAGGGACTTATATTATGAGCATCCTGAAAAATCATGCTAGGGCTTATTTTCTGGTTGAGTCTTATTTTGGGGGAAACACGGGTATCATCCAGATTAGACTTGGCGTCCCTGTGTGGTTGCAAAATTACTACAAGAAAATTCTGGGTCATTCCACGCAGGGTTTCAAGGAGCACAGGACAACTGTTTGAGGCGGAAATAAGGTGTATTCAACAGCGAAGCAGAGAAGTACATTGGTTCAGTGGCTTAATGATGCTGGAGTTGGTCTCTGCTCCAGTGGTTCGAGCCCTAGCACTGCGTAGCAGGATGAGGTCCCGAACTTGCCTCAGCTTCTGCCCGCCTAGCAGCTCAAAAGCATATATACCGCCGATAGACAAATAGGTACCACTTGGACGGGGATATGAGTTGGTGCTTTGTGCGGGCAGTCAGATTTCTGCCGGCTTTGAACCTTCCCGTTTGCGATGCCCGTTTGCGAGGTGGTTATGGTGGGGGGAGGGGAAAGGGCTTGGCTGATGCTGCAGGAAAAGCTGTTTGTCTTTCTTTCTGTTGCAAAGCTCGCTCGCTCTCCTGTGGTGCACCTTGGGAGGTGTGTGAGCATGGGCCATAACAGAGCTAGTAGATTTGCAGGCAAAGTACTACGCTTCAAGCAGCATCGCAGACTCCTGGCTAATGGAACAGCACCCTACACTCATAATAACAGTAACAGCAAAACAGTCAGCTCTGAGAAGCACTAGGGGGTGACAGGATATCCCTCTTCCAATATTTGAGGGGCTTCCCCAAAGAAGAGGGAGTCAAGCTATTCTCCAAAGCACCTGAGGGCAGGACGAGAAGCAAATAAGGACGGAAAGTAATCAAGGAGAGAAGGAACCTGGAATTAAGGAGAAACTTTCTAACAGGGAGCAATTAATCAGTGGAACAGCTCGCCACCAGAAGTTGTGGGGGCTCCCTCAGTTTTCAAGAAGAGACTGGACAGTCGCTTGTCTGAAATGGCAGAGGGGGTTGGACTAGAGGGGGTTGGGTTTGAGCAAGGGGTTGGACTAGAAGACCTCCAAGGTCCCTTGCAGCTCTATTCTGATTATGATCCACTCATCAGTCACTTTCTTCAGGGCTCTTCATACTTCAAAAAGTCTCTAACTGAACGATTGTAAGTGAAGGACTACCTATATTGTTGGGTTTTTTGAGCATCTCTTCCCGAGCAGCTATTTCTTCCCTAAAATCAGTATTTCCCTAATTTTTTTCCCCCAATCCTGTTCTGGCTCTTCTCCTTTAAATCCAGCTATGTGGACTTCAACTCCCAGAATTCCCCAGGCAGCACGGCCATTGCTGAGATTTCTGGGAGCTGAAGTCCAATTCAACTGGAAAGGCTCCCCACACCGGGAAATCTCGCTGTTGGCGAAGCAGGGTGGAAGGAAAAGGATCCATTCCGAAGGTTTAGCAGGGACAAATTTGGGATCGACCAAGTGAGGTTGCCTCTTCGCCTTTGAAATTCTTGGGGAAAGCGCAGACAATTTCCCGCTTGGAAAATAAATGGATCTTGTGCTCCTTGACCCAGGTTAGAAGGTTGTCCAGGCGGCAGTCGCACGCCCAAGGATTTCCTGCAAGATCCAGGCTGAGATTGGCAGACAGGATGCCGGCCGGAGGATCCAGCCTGGTGAGCTCGTTGGCGGAGAGATCCAACAGCACCAGTTGGTCCAACAGGTGAAATTCCCCAAGGGTGATGTCGGTCAGGCTGCAGTTCCTCAGGGAGATCACGCTCAGCTTGGGTCCCCAATGGAAGGATCTCGGGGCAACGCATCGGATCGGGTTGTTTTCCAGGATCAACCTCTCCAAATTTTCTAGGCCGCTGAACTTGTCTGGAGAGAGACGATGAAGGCGATTGGAGGAGAGATCTAGAAAGGTCAACTTCTTCAGCTTGGAGAAACAGGAAACGGGGACCTCCTTCAGCTGGTTTCGGTCAAGGCTCAGGATCTTAAGTTCCTTCAGGGTTTCGAACCAGGACGCCCGCAGCTCAGCCAGTCGGTTTTCACTGAGGGATAAAAGCGTCAGGTTCGTCGCATCGGTGAAGATCTCCGGGGGTAGATCTTCCAGGAGATTGGTGGACAGATCCAGGGTGTGCAGTTCTGGGAGGTTACGGAAGAGGCCACTGGGAAGGGTCTCCAGCCTGTTGTTGGAGAGGTGAAGTTCCTGGAGGTTTGGGAGATCTTGGAGGGTTTCCACGCCAAGGCTGGAGACCTGGGTGAACTCAACGGAGATCGTTTTAGTTCGTACAGGGAAGCCGGCGGGAAATTCACGGAGAGATGGGGAGTTGCAGACAAACTCCGTGATATTTTCTGGAGCAGGGTGGGGTGGGCAGTAAGGAACCTGCTGGGTGTAGCTGTTGAAGGACATCACAAGGCAGATGATCAGAAGAGGTGGAACCGGAGACTTCATCCTGTGGAGAAGCAGGGAGAGGGTCAACTTTAACAAAAAAAAAATACTCCTTTGGTCATTTTAGTTGCCATCAGGAAGGGAGTGGGGGAAAGCAGTGCACTCCTCAAATGCCTGAGATAATCGCCTTGGCAGCTTTTTGTTTTTATTTTTTAAACTATTATCATCTGGCAGACGGTGCCGGATAATAAAAACAAGGACAAATAGGTTGGAAAACAGCTTCTATCCCAGGGCAGCAGCTCTGCTGAATTCTACTGTATAGAGTGCACTATTAATGCAATCTCAGGAGTTTTCAATTCCACTGTGTAGTATGGGAAGGATGTGCGTTTGGGTTTATTTTCATACTTGTAATGTACACGGAAGATGATATTTAATTTCATTGTACAAGGTGCAATTGACAATAAACTAAACCTAACCTAACCCTAACTTAACTTAAGTTAACTTAACTTTTAACTTAACCTAACCTAACCTATCCTAACCTAACCTAACCTAACCTAACTTAACTTAACTTAACTTAACTTAACTTAACTAACTTAACTTAACTTAACTTAACTTAACTTAACTTAACTTAACTTAACTT